TTTACAAAACAATCAACATTTATCACAAGAATGCTGAGTTGTGGGCAAAAGTCGTGCCCCAGGCGGGAGTCGAACCCGCACCTCACGCTTTCCGGGCGAGTGCGCTATCCGTTACGCCACAGGCCGCTTTTACCCTCTCAGCTTAACGGCTTTTACTACTTCAGCACTCACACGTTTAAGCGTGACCAAACGCTTTGAACCGCGTCACAAGGTAAACTGTGTGCTGATAGGCTACGGCATAAAAGCCGTTAAGCTGAGAGGGTAAGAGCGGCCCTGGTGGCGTAACGGATAGCGCACTCGCCCGGAAAGCGTGAGGTGCGGGTTCGACTCCCGCCTGGGGCACGACTTTTTGCCCACAACTCAGCATTCTTGTGATAACTTTCGCAACGCGTACTGCGGCGTAAAACAGCAGTTATCAAACAAAAAACAGCTATTCAAAAATCGAACATGACGTTTTCACACCTTCAATGCAGCTACAGCAGCAATGAGACGGAGAGGATGCACACGCATGCCAGATGGCGGACGTAGAGAGGATTTTTTCGGTGTCGTTGGAATAATTGACACCTCTCCAACATCACTCAATGATGGTGCACTCGAACAAACTGAACTCGTCTCCATGTCACTTGGAAGTCCTATCGAACCACTGCTCATCGAGCTAGTGTCCGAATTCGCAGTGTATGCCTGCAGAAAGAAAACGATAGCGTGTTACTCGTAGTGGCAGATAAGGGAAAACTTACTTCACAAATCCATTCCGTTGGTGGTAGAGGGATGGAGCGAGCTGTCGGTGAATCACTGAATTTCGAACCAGCATAGCATGGGCTTCCGCTAGTCTTTGGGGTATATGAAACCGGACGACGAGCAGGACGCCGGGAACCCTGCAAGAAGATTTTAAGCAGAACCTCATAACACTTAGTTATCGGAGCAAAATAACAACAGTGACGTTCAGCATACCTCTTGCCGACTTCGAGGAGTTGGTGGAGCAGATACAGAACCAGACGTTCCAAATAGAGCTGCTGGCTGCTGTTGATGATGGCGATTCGAACGAGGCACAGTTGTACACGAAATATTCATTGTAGGCTTGTAACAGTTTGAACCGGGATTAAATACTGGTATTGCTGAGATGATTTGAGGAGGCGCAGCGTCCACAAAACTCTATTACCTAAAAATACAACAAAAATTAGAGGCTGTACACGAGCTTGCATTAGGAAAAGATTTTTCGCTGCTTTACTAACCCTTTACCTGATGAGAATCCTTCGTTCAGTGAGAGTACGAGACACTGAGTTACACTCAAATGTCATAAAGTGTTCTCCCTGAAAGTAGAATTTGTGACCCTTTCGTTACATATGAAACCAAGAAACGTTCAAAAAAGAAAGAGATAAATACCTGACTAACTGGAGAACGAACGTGGTACGTATCACTTTCTTCACACAGATGGAACCTTCACTTTCAAAGCCGTAGCCAACGCAGGCGGATGGTACACACAACAGACGCTTGAACGCGCTATAACTGAAACTGATCGGTGTATCAACATGTTTACGTCCAATCATTTCCATAATCAATGATACAGCTTCACGAACAGCAAACAAAAAAAATAGGAAACCAGGTAGCGGAATGAATAATTTTACACATTAAGTGCGAATAGTGATGAAAAGCATGAAAAATGGAGCTTCATGAAAAAGCGAATGGTTGGTAATCATAAGGATCAGGTTGACTATTCCGTTGTGACAGAGACAAATATCAAACAATAAGCCGAGAACTGGCGCTCCATAGTTGGTGAAGGGGGGGGGGGAAGCTAGGCACCGCTGTTGTGCCCCTTCCTGAAACAAAGCTTAGGCTCAACCGTCATCTTCATAAGAATATCCCTCGGCAATCCTGGTCGCTTGGAGTTTGCCACGCGCTTGGAGTTTTCCATGCACACGATATAAGATTTTCTGGCGTTGAGGTAATTGGAAGAGCTTGGGTGCGTCTCTGTGCCTTTGGCCCTAAGTGCGTTCATATTACGCAACTGCGTACTCAGTACTCTGACGGGTAAGAACACAGAGACGAGCCCCGTCATCCAAGTACTTCAGCTCGAGAATTATATTCCATGTGCATGGCAAACACCTGGCCAACGTGTGAATGCACTGGAAATCCTCTCACGGAACTACCAAGATGCGATTGTAGGAGAGGTGCGCAATCTAACAGATTACTCTTAGAAGATGCTCCAATGCGGGTAAACCAACAAAATTCTTGCAAAAATGATGTTATC